GGGGGACGGAGGGGGCGTGGCCTCGGAGAAGGGGGCGTGGCCTCGCTCTGAGGAGGGGGTGTGATTATGCAAATGAAGGGGCGGGGTGTGTTCAAATGAGGGGGCGGGGCCTCACTTCTCAAAGGCCTCCAGCGTGTTCTCGATCCTCTCGCCGCAGCCTGAGGGGGGAGGGACAGAGACCACTTCCGGGTCCGCACTTCCGGGTTCCCCCACATCCGGTCACCACTTCCGGGTGTGGGGGGGTTTTACCGGTATCTCCGTATTTAACCTCCTTTTTTTTCCCTTTTTTCCCCGCTTTTTTTCGGGTTTTTTCAGGTCTTTTTGGTTTGTTTTAAGTTTTTATCCGATTTTTGGTCTTTTTAGCTTTTTCCCGGATATTTTGGGGTTTTTTTGTTTGGTTTTTTTCCAGTTTTTTTTCGTTTATTTTCATTTTCTTTCTGTTTTTTTCCGGGTTTTCTTTTTTTCCCAGTTTTTTGCCGATTTTTTCGGATTTTTTTCCAGTTTTTTCCGGTGTTCTCTTTTTCCCCTTTTTCCCGTTTTTTCCGGTTTTTTTTTTCGTTTTCTTTTAATTTTCTTTTCGTTTTTTCCGGGTTTTCTGCCTTTTCCCGGTTTTTTCCCGATTTTTTTAGGTTTTTTCCAGTTTTTTCCTGTGGTTTTTTTTTTTTTTAATTTTCTTTCCGTTTTTTCCCGGTTTCCTGTTTTTCTCGGTTTTTTTCCCGATTTTTTTTCGGTTTTATCCAGTTTTTCCAGTTTTTTCCCGGTTTCCTGTTTTTCTCGGGTTTTTTCCCGATTTTTTTTTCGGTTTTATCCAGTTTTTCCAGTTTTTTCGTGTTTTTTTCATTTACTTTCATTTTTTCCGGGTTTTCTGCCTTTTCCCGTTTATTCCCGATTTTTCTTTTTTTTTTCCCGGGTTTTTTCTCGGTTTTTTTCGTGGTTTTTTCGGTTTTTCTTTTCAGTTTTTCCAGGTTTTCTGCTTTTCCCGGGTTTATTCTTATTTTTTCTTTTTTTTTTTTCCGGGTTTTTTTCGTGTTATTTTCATTTACTTTCGGTTTTTTCCGGGTTTCCTGTTTTTTCCCGGTTTTTTGCCCGATTTTTTTTCGGTTTTTTCCCAGTTTTTTCCGGGTTTTTTGGGGGTATTTTAGTTTTTTCCCGTTTTTTCCCCTTGTTCCGTTTTTTTCCCAGTTTTCTGTTTTTTTTTCCCGGTTCTGTTCCGATTCTTTTAGGGATTTTTTTCCTGTTTTTTCCCTTTTTTTTCTCTTTTTTTCGTTTTTTACGGGTTTTTTTAATTTTCTTTCACTTATTTCCGGGTTATCTGTTTTTCCCAGGTTTTTCCCGATTTTTTTCGGGGTTTTCCAGTTTTTTTCCGGGGTTTTTTCTTGTTTTTTTCATTTACTTTCAGTTTTTACCGGGTTTTCTGTTTTTTTCCCGAGTTTTTCCAATTTTTTCACTTTTTCCGTGTGGTTTTTAATTTTTTTCGGGTTATTTCCGGGTTTTTTTGGTTTTCTTTCGTCTTTTCTTTTTCTTTGTTTTTTCCCGATTTTTTCCCGATTATTTTCCACTTTTTTCCGGGTTTTTCCCGTTTTTCTTTCATGTTTTTTTCGGGTTTTTTTCATTTTCTTTCCCCGTCTCTTTCCGTCCCTTTTCGTTTCTATTCGGCTCTTTCCGTCCCTCCCCGTCCCTTTTCGTTCCATTTCGTCCCTTTTCGGCTCTTTCCGTCCCTCTCCGCCCCCTCCCGCCTCTCTCCGTCTCTCCCCGCTCCCCCTCGGCTCTCTCCGCTCCACCTCGGCTCTCTCCGTCCCCCCTCGG